TGGTTTTGGCGCCCATACCGGACGGGGTATGGGGACGGCCCGTTTCACCCTCATACCGGACGGGGTATTGAGGTTTATGGTTTTGGCGCCCATACCGGATGGGGTATGGAGACGGCCCTGGAAACTGATTATGAATGTTAAAGGTTAACGGGTAGCGGGACCCCTAGGGACCCCCATGGATACTAGTAGGCTGGTAAATGAGAAAAGGATATGTTGTATAATGATTGAATTACAAAAGGCGTGATAAGTGCTATGTTTTACAGCTTATATTATTCCATGATAGTGATAATGTTATTATTTTTCTTATATTGTTTTCATAAATTCCACCGAGGTAAGTGGATAGTAAATGTTTTCATGTTAATAAACGAGTTTATTGTAAATTATGCTCCATTGGTCTTTTTGTGTTTTTCTACCCACCTTTACCTCCGTGACGGTGAGATATCGTGATGTTCTTACTGGGCTAGTGTAGCTCACTCCTTATTTAACCATTTCAGATCAGGAAGACATGGTTCCCGAGCCCGTTCCGCAGGAGGACGACGAAGGGGATACCTAGAGACTCTGTAGTCATACTCATAGTTTTATTTTCGAGTTTCTCTCTTAGTTAGTTTAATCTTTTATATTTTAAGTACGTTTCTGGTTTTTCGTGTAAGGGATGTTAACTGAAATTTTGATCTCGCTTCCGCATTTGATATATTTAAATACTCATTTCATTTTAATATTTCCGGGGCCGTTACACCTACTACTTTCTCTTTCTTTCTAGTGTCTTTTTATTTTTTTTTAAGTTCATTATCTCATTTTCCCACAATTCCAGCTTCAGCTCCAACAAATTCTGGGAAAACCCCAAAAGTACCTGGCTTAACAATAATTTTAGCTGTGATTATACTGAAATTTTAGGTCTTAAAGGAAGAAGTCAGAACTTGTCTGCACTCAAAAAATAAGAGAAAAAATTGCCTCAATGTGTCTAAACATGTCTTTCTCCGTGAGATAGACAAACAGATGGACAAACGCATGAACACATTTCATACACATATATACATGTATGTGTAATACACACATACACACATAAACATACAGAGAGAGAGAGAGAAATGACAGAGGAAGTCCTCTAACAGAGGTATTCAGATCTTTTGGAATTTCAAGATGGGGGGAAAGATAAACTGAGAGAAGAACTTAACAGATTGAGCATTTAAACAAATTCCTTCTGTTTTTTTTTGTTACAGATCCAAATTGATAGATAAAACTTCCATTAAAGGTAATTCCAGATCAAACAATCAATTTACATCACAATATCATCCATTTCCTTTAGACATTTCACTATTATAAGAATAGTGATCTTTAGCACAAGAAAGCCTTTAACCGTAAAGCCAGTTTATATACAACTAGTAAAGCATTCGCGAAAAAAGAAAAGATTACTTGATATCTTCTCTAGGAATGCAAACACTTCTTTATTAGTTGGAAACTGTCAAAAATATCATCTTACACCATACAAGTTAAGGAATATTAACAAGAAGTCATAATTTAAGTAAGATGTCCACGATCTTAGAGCGGGCAACAGTGGAAAAATGAAGGAGTCTTATCACCAAGAAGGACAGAAGAGGAGAATCATTGAACAGCAATCAAAAATCAAATAAAAGGGAAAATGGGGGTGAAATTAAATCAGCAGTTCTCTTTCACGGACTTCATTTCAGTGAAAATAGGAGAAAGGGCAGAGCTGCCATGAAATTCAACCTGAAAAAATTGAACAGAGAAATGCAAAACAAGTAAACGAACTAAAGCAGTTCTTCAGTCTATGAACTCAGCTATACTAATCACCCGAATCTAGAGCCATATATTAATTTCCTTAAGATAACTTATAACAAAGAACAAAATTTGTAATGAGCCTAATCTATAGCCAAAGGATTCAACTCCCAAAGGAAAAAATACTCCCTATAGATGCATATATTTTCACGTCGCTGAACCTATTGGTACTTCCCGCTGCTTCAGATTCAAATAATTTGTAATCCCTCAATCCAACCATAATCTAAACCCCAATATTCTCATTGATTAATTACACACACGACATCCTCTACCCGATTCGCAGTCAGTTTATATGTCAAAAATCTCATACTAAAATGAATTGTAAGAAAAAGGCGTTGAACTGAGGCAGATATAAGCTCAAATGTCCTTAATTTAAAGAGCTTGAAAGCTACACAGGGACCAGACCAGTTGAAGAATCCAAAAGATTAGCGCACCAGAAACAGAGACATGAAAATGGATTATATAAAACAAAATATAAATATAAAACAACGTTTTTGTCACTTCAACAAAAAGCTCCTAACCTTCTCTTGTAGCCTCGGCAACGGCTCCTTGTGCTCTTTTGCCACTTCCTTAGTTTTCGAAATAGTCTGTATTTTGTTGTCTACCTCCTCCTCTAATACATTAATCATTCACCTCCTCTAAAGCCCTTCACCGAAAATTTCAGTAAACCCTAAACCAAAACAATATTGAAAAAGACACAGTTAAGGAAAGTTGACTCGCAATTAAGAACTATACCTGACATGATTGCAAGACAAACAGCAGCCGGAGATGATGACGACGCAAAACGGCAACCGGAGGTGACGTTTTGGCAAGACCTGCACGGGAATCAGGATGGGAGTACGGCGCGGAACGGAGGGGAAAAAGTAATATATATCAATTTTATATATAATTAAATTTTATATATAAAATTAAGTTTAATTTTAATTTTTCGATTTTAAATTATAAATATTCAAATTTATATCAATTTTAATTTAAATATAAAGTATTTATTTTCATCTTTAAGTTAATATTTAAAATATCTTCTTTGTACTTAAGTTTTTATGTACTTCTAAAATATTATATGATTAAAAAAATAATAAAATAAAAATAAATACATAAATAGGTAAAAAAGTAATATATTCAATATATATTTTATTACATTAGATAATAAATAAACACGTATTATGTGCATATATATATATATTCGAGATTTGTTGCACAAAATGTAAATGTATTCCAATTTGAAGTGACTCAATTAAAAAAAAAAAATTAGTTCTTGTCTTAATTAGAATAAAAATAATAATATTTCATAATAAAATAAATAAAATATACAATAATTCTTGACAAAATATTATTTTGTTATTTCGTTTCATTACTCTCTTACAAAAATTTATATGCAAAAATTTATTATATTATTTTAAATTTATAAAGACTCAAAACTTTAAAAAAATGAATATATATTAAAATAGCAGAAGCAAATAATAATTAGAATTAATATTCCTTACACAAAAAATTTAGAATGTCCAATAGGGTAACGGAATGTCCCTAAAAATGAGTTAAAATAATAGAAATATAAATGAAACTAAAATTCTATTATGTTAACTTTCACTGACAACTTTGATGGAGTGTAGGATGTAATTTTTACTCACAACCCTCATATTGGATCTTGGTCTTCCTGATCTGAAATAATTAAATAAGAAAATGAGCTACATTAACTTAGTAAAAATATTACACTAATCACTGATATAGAAAATTGAATGTTGGTAAAAATTATAAAACAACTAATTGAACCATTAATTCAGGTAAATTCATTTAATATAAAAATTATTTATTCCATACTTACTGTTACGAGTTCCCAAAATCAACATACGAAGACAATAACTCAAATAACATTCTGATTTCATATCCAAGTGAGCAAGAATGTCAACTTACCTTTTTACTTGTTTACTAATACATCTAGGGGCCCATAGGGATGTTCCTCATACATGTGAATCCAATATCTAAATTTGTCAATTAACTGGTCTTCCTCATACTCCGTCCGATAATAAGCGTCAAATCTACCATCGCCTCGATACTCCGTCCGATATGAGAGTGAACCATATCTCCCAATCCTTCTAGTCTGGGACTTCTCAGCCCCGTCCGACTGAGTTAATGTCTACGGTAGAGTTTTTTTTTATATATTGGGTCCGTCCACCATTTTTCAGGGTACCCCGTAAGCTTTTCATGGATAGATTTACATTATCAACCAATCACCAATTGCATTCCAATATCTCATATTTGCAAATCAATAATAAATCATGCAAAGAGACGATACATAAATCAATAAAGTATAATTAGGACATTTATTACAAAACGAACCAACAAATGAGGGATGTGCAATTAGGTAAACTAAATAACCGAGAAAGCAATTAAAACTAGTAATTTAACGCACACAATATAATAGTAAGCATGCTTTGACGTCGGTTTCATCGCCCATGGCGGCGGTTCGCCTCGAGCTGACCATTTTTGGCTTGTTTTGCACGTGAAACTGCAAAAAACTAAGTTAGAAGGCCTCGATTGGCCAGAAAAGGCAAAAAACGAAAACCCTACTAGTGAAAGGTCTCTGGGTGCGGCGGCTCCGCCGATCTTCCTTCGCGGTTGAAGTTCTCTTTCGACTAACCTGCACTAGAAAAGGACGGAGAATACAATGGTTAAAAAATCACGCGAAACAAGAAACAGGAAGAGAGTCATCGAAAAGGGTTTTGGATTTTTGGTCGCGGCGGTTCGATTGGGTTTTGCCTGTGGTTTCCTCTCCCGTCAGCCCTTTAGCTCCGATATGGGCATAGAGAGACTCAGGATCAAATTTCAAGCGAAAAAAAGAAAATTTTACCTCTCTTAGCGGTCGGCAGTGGCTCAGGTGCAGCGACAACGATGTCCCTCCAACAACTGGTCTTCCCTCCAGCTGCCCTTCTTCTTCTCCTCCGGCCGTTCTTTTGTCGGTTAGGGTTACAATTCTATATGAATAGGAGTTTAAATACCCCTCTCCATCTGATCCCGGTAGCTCGTTCGAGTCAACGTAGAGTGATGAGAGTCATATGATGACTTTCCATTTAGGCCGATTGCGGGGGCGAATCTGAACTGTTCATCGCGATTAATCATACCTGTCTGATAATGCCTGAAGAGGGAATGCATCTGAGTTGCTCATGCATGCAGAATACAATATGAACCGTCGAATTGCTCAAGCACACGGATTGTCCGCGTGACCTCTTGCATAGAACCGATGTCAGCATGTCCGTCACGTGACGCGTTCTGACTCGTCGTGGCTACTGATCGGGTTGTCCTATCTAGTCAAACTTTTTTTTTTGCGATTTTACCCTATATTTTCAAATTTCTTTTCAAACACACTCCCTTTATTCAAAATTTTACACATTTTTTTTCAGAATTGTTTTCATTTTATCACTGACTCTATTTTTTTCAAAATTTTTAAAAAATTAAAATAAAATACAAAATAATTATTTTTATATATTTTTTTATTAATTCAAAAATTCATCTTCTACTAAATTTTTAGACCCGGGTGTTATAAAATTACATTATAATTATTTTTTACAATTTAATTTATGAGAGTATAAAATTATTTTAAAGATAATGATTACAATAATCTAAACTTAATTATTTTCCTTATTTAGAATACATAAAAATTATTTTTTTTCTTGAATTCTAACAAAATTT